ATCAAGTATCAGACGTAATGTTTGCGTTCGGGTCGCAAATAAGTTTTGCTATGCTGCTTCTGGCGTAGTCAATGGATGCAGACAAATCCGAGGGCGAAGATAACCTGCAAGTTACTCCATCATTCTGAACTCCAGCTCCATCAACTTCACAGAATATGACAGAAACAGGTTTCGATTCTGATCGTCGCCAAACTGATATGAACTACTAGGATGCTGCTCTTCGGGTTCTATAACGGCACTCAAATGAATATGGGTTGATATGGATGCTGCTAATAATAAGGCTTCAAAGTTTTCTAATCGCACTAAAATAAACAGTCACGGTGGGCAAAACTCTCGTATAGCAGTACAGTCTGTTGGATAATTAGTCGTCATTTCCGATTCTTACGTAATTATATCGTCTTGATAACCATCGTAAAAATGTGAGTACATATTCATCAGCTTACCATATCTACACATTTTTATTATATGAGTTGATTCCGAATTTATTTTATTCTCAATCTATTCTGGCTTTTGGTTACGATTAATTTATCTGCATTAAGACAAATAGTGAGTGTTATCAGCAGTTTTGTAATGAACTACCACTCGTCGTTTTCTTCTAATTTAGATTAGGATGATGTTTTGAGCACAATCTATTGCTCATAATTATATCAATATATTCATATATGGCTTCACTGCCTCCAGATATCTAATGCAATTTTCTATATATCTAAATCATTAAAATTAAGCTGCATCTCTTCCAAAATACTTGACCATTACAATGCATTCACTTGCATGTAATTATACATTAGGGTAAAAGAGCAACTATAAAATGTAGTAAGCTAACTCTCTAGCCAACAAACTAGCACTGAATAACCTATCAAATTCGTCCCACGAAACATGCATTTATCATGTGGGAAGTGTATTTAGGGCAAATGTATACTAAATAATGACATCTGAAACCAGTTTCTGTGCACATATTCGTCTAAATGAAGTGATTGTGTATTATATTTATTTTTGGACCAGCTCATCATGCGTTTTTCAAATTGTGATCAAAATCCTTCGATCGAATTTGTATGGGTCCCAGTGGTATATATATATTATTGTTTCCTTTAACTACTAGAGGAACATAGGGCTTCAGCCGTGCGTCTCCATTGCGTTCGGTTCTCTGCTAGAGTCTTCACCTGGCTCCAAGTCTGCCCACACGTTTTCATTTCCTCTTCACATGACCTGTGGAGTGCGTACCAATGTGATTGTACACTTTTTGGTTATTTGTAGAAATTAGACATATTGTACATAATTTTTGTTTAAAACGCTTCTTGTTGAAATACACTTGGCTTCCGTGAACGATTGGAAAATACACTCTGCTGTTGGGGACTTCTTCACCTCCTTGGTTTCTCCGGTTTACTAGCTCAGCTCTCACCGTGTTGTATCTTTCGAATTTATTGTAGAAGTCCACTACGCTCAACCGAAGACAATTCTACAACCGGGACACAGCAGCTACAACCTACTCCGTTCAAACAATTAACGTCTCCGTGGGTTATATAAATAATCTGTAGCAGAGGACTTGAACTTTATTTCCAAGTAACCCTTTTGTTGATATAACGTGTCGTTGCATTTTTGGTAATATACTGTTACTTAACATTCCATTGACTTGAATTTTATTTCTCATATTTTGTAATACTAGTGAACTCTAACATAAGTCCCCTACAGACCTCCTCCAAGTCACCCTTGCACTGACGACCAACTCGCCGCTTCCCTTTCGGGTTCCACTCGAGCAATGGCTTGTCTAGTGATGTCACTTGATGGTTTCCTCAGAGTATGGCCAATCCATCTCCATTTCTTCCTGCCTATTTGTTTCACAATCTGTACCTGGTTGGTTCGCTCATTGCCAGAGATCCCTCTCTGTTGCTGATCTTTTCTGGCCGGCTATCTGATCTTGAGTATTGAGCGAAGACAACTGTTAATGAAGGTCTGTAGTTTGTTTGAGATGCTCTTTATGACTCGCAGTGCAAGTCTCTGATCCGTACAGTCAGTAGCAGTGACTTCACATTGGAGTTGAAAATCCGGATCTTATTTTTGATGCTGAGTGCTGTTTACCTACACACAGACTTGAGAGTAGTGAAAGCTTGTCTTGCATTTCCGATTCTCGCTTTGATATCCTCGTCAGTTCCATTCGCCTGTAGTTGAAACGGTGCTTCCCAGGTAGGTAAAAGAGGTTGTTTCTTTCAGGTTCCTCCCATTTATGCTGATAGTTGTCTGTTGTTGTTATTCTTGTCCAGGAATCTTGATTACCTCTGTTTTCTCTATGTTCACCTGAAGTCCTATCTTCTCTGGATGCTTCTTCTGCCAACTTGTTGCTTTTCGCTTGCATATCTTCCAGTTTGTGGGAAATCAGACATATATATGTCATCGGTGAAGTCCAGATCCTCGAAGTTCTCTTTTTGTGTGAGTTCATTTTATGCCTGTTTCCTCATTGCCCGCTGTTTGTCGCATTCTCCAATCTACTGCAATCAGGAAAATCATTGGCGATAGTAGGCAGCCAGCTTGTCTTACTCCTGTCCTCACTTCGAGGGATTCCGTAAGTTTCCCGTTGTGGATTACTTGGCATGCAGCATTGTCATACAGCTGTTGGATGAGATGTATAATTGTCGGTGGCACCCCGTAGTAGCGAAGTAGTTGCCAAAGCACCTCTCGATCGACCATGTCGAAGGCCTTTTTATATATACATAGACATATATATATATGTATATATAGAATCACTCCGTAAGGATATGACTCATGCATCTTTTATTCACTTAGAATTTATTGAATTGTTTATGATTGCTCTTCTACGTTTCATTTAATTTACTACAAGTGATATTTAGCTTTATTTCGAGAACTCTTATTTTGAATGAGTCATACATCCATTGTGATCCAGCCTAACACGAATGCATGTTATCACATAGTTGGAGGCTATAAGAAGGAAGCTTTGCTTGACCTAGTTTTAATATTTGTTGGTACTCACTAATGAACAAGGCATATGTATCTGCAATCTTGAAGGAACTCATATCCCTCCTGAGATGTATCATTTCTGGGGATCTAATTTTTTCTGGGAAGAATAATTCCCTTTCATTTCGCGATTGTAAACTTTTAACTTGCACATCTCTAAGTTTCTTGAAGGCCGAAATTACCATCTTACTATAGAAGCTTTAATTAAACGTTTACAGTATTATATACTGCTACGATTATACTCTTGGGTTCCTAGTGGAACTATAAGATGGTTTCAGCAAAGCATCTCCACTTTGTTCTTTTTTTCTGCTGTCGTGTTTATCTGGGTCGACGGTTGCCTATAGTCTCTCATCTCCTCCTCTCACAGTCCCCGTCATATCAATCCAGTGCATCTCTTAGTCTGTCTAAGATGTCACGACTTAGTATTTTACTTGGCGTGGACAAGAGCATTATTCCACGCCAGTCAGTTCTTGCGGATCCATATGTCACCCTTCTTTGACAGCTTGACGTGGTAGCCAGCCTTTCTTCCAATCGTTGGTTACCTTCTCTTCCCTCTTTCCAAACCTGCAGTAGTGGCGTGCGCACATCTACTGCAGTTTCTGGATCCGTTTTCAGTGCTTTGTAGTAGAGGGGTGATTCCATCTGGTCTTGCTGCCTTTTCGGACTTCAGTAGCTTGATCGCATTCAGAGTTTCAGCTTTCGTTGGAGGATTGGTGTCCATTGACAGGCATTTCCGTGAGTACTGTTAGTGGTATATCTAGTGGAGTTTCAGGTGATGGTCGATTCAAGAGTCCTTTGAAGTCATCAACCCATTGTTTTATTTGTTTCTCCTCCTTGGTAATCAGGTTCCCTTGACCATCTTCTAGTGGTTTCATCATCTGACTTCATCTCTTTCCAGATAGATACGTGGTTATGTGATATTATGTCCTGAGATCTCTATTTTTTTTTTTTTGATTTACAGCTTGATTCCACACCGTATTTTCAGTACAAGTATGGAATTTTCAGCATGGATATCGGTAGCCCAAATTCAGGCCGACCATAGATATCGGGTGTGCGCCGGCTGGGGATCGAACCCCGGACCATGTGCCTGCGGCTTGTTATGCTTCTGTTGCCAGTGTGTCTTTTGTCTCTCCTAGCACGCTTCATTACTGCTTTATTCAGTGCAGTGTACATTGAACTCAACTTCTCCTTCTGTTGTGCATCTTTGCATTGAGTCATCTCTTTCACCATGCTTCTCTCTTCTATTAGCTTCCATGTATCCGTTGAGAGCCATTCCTTGTCTTGTTTCTTCTTTCTTCCTAGAACAGTTGTACACGTCCTTGAATATTGCCTTCAGAGAATTCCGATGCTCTTGCACGCAGGTGTCCTCAGTAATGCCACGTAGTGTGTCCGACTTTGCTCCGATCTGATCTGATCTGTAGCATAGGCATCCCTTGTACTTTTGTCCTTCAGTTTGTGAATGTTGAACTTGAATTGTGTCCTGCCTCCAGTTGTCCTTAAGGATTTCAGCTTCACATTGAGTAGCATTGAGATGAAATCTATCTAGTTCGTGGTATGCCCATCAGGCGAAATCCATGTTGCTTTGTGTATATCCTTGAGTTTGTACACGCTTCCTCCGACCACGAAATCATTGAAAGCACAGAATTCTGCAAATAATTCTCCTTTCTTTTTCATTTCTCCGAGGGCCTCACGACCCATGATGAGTTCTCTTCTTGTACTATCTGCTCCCAGTTTGGCGTTCATATCGCCCATGAGGATTCTCTATGGCTCTGAAACATGGCCAATACGAGTTGAAGACTTGAAAAGGTTGTCTGTTTTTGACCACAGATGTTTACGATCTCTTTCTCGCGTTAGGTGGTATAATAAGGTAAGTAATGTTGACGTTAGGCGTAGAGTGTTGGGCAAAGAGGGAAAATCATTCGAAGAGGCTATTAAGTTACATAGATTGAGATGGCTAGGTCATGTGCTGCGCATGCCTAACCATCGCCTCCCCCGACGGGCATTACTAGCTGATATACGCGCAGGTTGGAAAAGAGTAAGTGGTGGTCAAACAAAAACATGGCCTCATCAATCCATGAAATCCCTGACAGTTAAACTGAGTCAGGTAGGGAGATGCAGACTTCCGGGTTGGGGCCCTCGGGACTCTAAGAATCAATGGCTGGAGACAGACAATAGGTGACATGGCTCAAAATCGTTGTCAATGGCTTACGCAGATGTATTCAGTCTCTGTAATCTTTCATATTCCTTTCTACCATTACTCATTGTGTTTCACTCCTATACTTGTCAAAACTCTATTGATTCTCTTCACTCATTTTCCTGTCTACGTTTGTGTGCTATTTGGAACGTGGTAACTCGAATTGTTGCACGTCGGTGCCAAGTTCTATGTTAAATCCAGCCAGCCAGCCAGCCATGAGGATTCTGATGTCACCATTCGAAATGTTGTCCATTACTGTTTGTAGTTGTCTGTAAAAATCTTCCTTTTTGTCTTGTTCCGCGTTGTTCGTAGCACTGTGCGTAGCATTGGACAATTGTGACCTTCCTTCCTTTTGAGTTGAATCATGCTGTCAGGATTAGGCGGGATGATTTTGGTTCCCACTGCATTAGGTATTTGGTTGGCACTGTTGACATCATGATGGCCACTCATTGCCTCATTGTGCTCATGGTTGTCGTCTGGGTGACCAGACCGTAGTAGATTACTGACTGTCCAGTTGACAATTTTGACAATCCACATCCATATGGGCATCACCTCACTGGTGTTATATCCCTGTTCCCCAGGAGTACGAGTTTGCCCACACACCTCCAGCGTAGTGTAAAAACGAAATGCTTACACTTTGCCGGTAACTGCTTTTAGTCAAATCGCTCGCTATCCTAACAACCTTCCTGGCATGATAGGACGTGCAGTAACAATAGTTCCAGTGTAGCCGGTGTAGCCTGTTGGTTCGTTGCGATACGCAGGCAGGCTCGACCACCACGTCAAGGTAACAGCCCAACCCTCCCTTTTTACCCGGGCTTGGGACCGGCTAGAGAACTAGCAAGCTAGTTAACTAGGCAAGGTTAAGAAGCCTGATGATAAATGTGATTCTTTGTTGCTTATCTATCAACTAAAGCTGAAATATAGATCCTTAGGCGTTTGGAATCCGCTAAAGTTATTATACAATGCTTGTTGGTATAAATATATATGATAGCTGTTTGTGAATATTGATTTATTTTGCGAATATGAATGCTCCTGTTAATCAGTCTACTGACAGTGAATATTTCCCAGTTGTGATATCTAAACCTAGACAGTATGACAAAGTAATAATCTGAATTGGGTCGGGTTCCAATAGCTTAACAACCGTCTACGAGCTCTTCTCGCAACCAGAAGGTTCGAATGGGTTGTTGGGTGAGTATGGATGGATAAGGAGTCCCAGACTGGGACAAAACAGCTGTTCATTACTGTGTCAGGTCTTCCAATAGTTCTGTAACTGATGTCAGCTCGTGATCAGTTTTGTACTGAATATAGTAATACTATAATGTATTGTTTACTATCATGGAAAAATGCATATAGTGGGTAATATGTGGTGGTAGGCTTATGCTAAAAACTTTGTGATCCATTATATGAAAACTATGATATAATTGTAAAGACTCAAATGTTTCTGCACACAGAGTCTATCAAACAGTATTGTACTATTCATGTGACTTATTTGCAGTAAATAAAGTAAACGCTAAGAATATGGGTTGTGTATTACTTGTCGTAGCCTCAGTAGTGAAAGTTCCAGGGCCTTTCACATTTAGATTTAAAGGGTTGCTGTTTTTCACCCTCAAAATAATTCTACTTTTTTTCGTGTGTGTGTGGAATCTTTCAGATGAGTAATCTGCAATTCGCTTGCAATGTCTGCAATGTGCGGTGTGATACTGAAAATGTTCTCAGATTACATGAACAAGGCAAAAGGCATCGTTTAAAATGCCTTAGTTTGCAAAAATCTAACTCAGTAAGTCATATTCACCAACCATTGGAAGTTTCACTACCAGTACTTACCACACCTGAATCAACGTCTCCCAAAGATCTATCTTGGGATATGTGTAAGCCATCTTCTAGAGCATTGAAAAATTCAACTCCTGATCATGAATCACCCGTAAACATGGTTTCTATTGATTCGAACTCAAAATATTTTAATGCAGATATGATTATTATTATTATTATTATTTCCTTTAATTCCTAGAGGAACATAGGGCTTCAGCCATGCGTCTCCATTGCGTTCGGTTCTCTGCTGTAGTTTTCACCTGGCTCCAAGTCTGCCAACACGCTTTCAATTCCTCTTCACATGATCTCCTCCAGGTCACCCTTGGACGACCAACTCGTCGCTTCCCTTTCGGGTTCCACTCGAGGACTTGTCTAGTGATGTCACTTGCTGGTTTCCTCAGAGTGTGTCCAATCCATCTCCATTTCTTCCTGCCTATTTGTTTCACGATCGGTTCCTGGTTGGTTCGCTCCCAGAGATCTTTGTTGCTGATCCTCTCCGGCCATTTGATCTTGAGTATTGAGCGAAGGCATTTGTTAATGAAGGTCTGTAGCTTGTTTGAGCTGCTCTTTGTGACACGCCAAGTCTCTGATCCGTATAGTAGTACTGACTTCACATTGGAGTTGAAAATCCGGATCTTATTTTTGATGCTGAATGCTGTTGACCTCCACATAGACTTGAGAGAAATGAAAACTTGTCTTGCTTTTCCGATTCTGGCTTTGATATCCTCGTCAGTTCCTCCTGTAGTTGAGACGATGCTTCCCAGGTAGGTGAAAGAAGTTGTTTCCTTCAGGTTCCTCCCATTTATGCTGATTGTTGTCGGTTGTTGCTGTTGATGTTGGCCAGGAATCTTCATTACCTCTGTTTTGTCTATGTTCACTTGAAGTCCTATCTTTGCTGCTTCTTCTGCCAATTTGTTGCTTTTCACTTGCATATCTTCCAGTTTGTGGGAAATCAGACATATATCATCGGCGAAATCCAAATCCTCCAAGGCTTTTGTGTCGGTCCATTTTATGCCTGTTCCCTCGTTGGTTGCCGTTGTCTGCCGCATTATCCAATCAATTGCAATCAGGAAGATCATTGGTGACAGTAGACAGCCTTGTCTCACTCCCGTCCTCACTTCGAAGGATTCCGTGAGCCTCCCGTTGTGGATTACTTGGCATGCAGCGTTGTCATACAGCTGTTGGATGAGATGTATAATTGTCGGCGGCACCCCGTAGTAGCGAAGTAGTTGCCAAATCACCTCTCGATCGACGCTGTCGAAGGCTTTCTCAAAATCGATGAAGTTGAGATAGAGAGGTGACTGCCATTCCAAACTTTGTTCAATGATAATCCGTAGGGTGGCGATTTGGTCAATGCATGACTTGTTCCTCCTGAATCCGGCCTGTTCCGGACGAAGTTTTTCATCTAGGGCTTGTTTAATTCTCTCCAGGATGATGCGACATAGTATCTTGCTTGGAATGGACAGAAGCATAATTCCACGCCAGTTTTTACATTGACTCAAATCTCCTTTCTTTGGTAGTTTGAATAAGTATCCGTTCTTCCAATCCTCGGGTACTTTGCCCTCTTTCCACACCTTCTCTAGTAGTGGCGTCATCAAGTCCGCTGTTGTCTCTGGGTCTATTTTCAAAGCTTCTGCTGGGATTCCATCTGGTCCTGGCGCTTTCCCAGCTTTTAGCATCTTGATGGCATTCAGGACTTCGGATTTCGTCGGAGGGTCGATGTTCATTCGTAGTTCTGCTTCCGTTGTTGGTATTGTTGGACGCGTTGTAGGTGGCGGACGATTTAGAAGTCTTTTGAAGTGTTCAGCCCAGTGCTTCCTCTGTTCCACCTCTTTGGTGATTGACTTTCCATTGTCGTCCTTTATTGGCTTAATCTGTGTCGAACTTTTGCCCGAAAGGTGCCTAGTTGTTTGGTATAGTGTAGCGAGGTCTCCTTTGCCTGCAGCTTGTTCTGCTTCGTTTGCCATGGTTTCACAATATTTTCTTTTGTCTTCCCTGGCACTTTTCTTCACTCTTTTGTTCAGTGCATTGTAGCTTGCATTCAACTCCTGTTTCTGTTGCTCGTCGGTGCACTGGATAATCTTTTGTTTCGCCACCCTTCTCTCTTCTATTAGTTTCCAAGTGTCCGTAGAGAGCCACTGTTTGTCCTGTCTCTTTTTTCTGCCTAGGACTTCCATGCAGGTTTGACTCCACACCGTTTTCAATTTGTTCCAGTGCTTTTCGACGCTGACCTTTTCGTTGGTGTTGATTTGTGTCTCGGCTTTTTCCCATATGTTTGCAATGAAGATGTCCTTTGTGTCGTGGTCCTTCAGCTTTTGAGTGTTGAACTTGGCTTGTGGTCTATCTGCAGCTCCTGTTTCCCTGAAAGCTTTTAATTTGATTTGGATTGTCCCTTGTACGAGGTAGTGGTCTGAGCCAACGTCTGCTCCTCTTCTTGCTCTTGTGTCCAGTAGGCTGCGTCTCCACTTCCTCGATATTGTGATAAAGTCAATTTGGTTTTTGGTTCGCCCGTCTGGTGACACCCATGTAGCCTTGTGGATATCTCTGTGCTTGTAAACACTGCCACCAAAGATATGAAGCAAAAGTTTTTGTTACCTGATGGCAATCTCTTTTGTTCTTTGTGTGATGTAAAAATGAATTCTTTGGAGCAATTAGACGCTCATATTCGTGGACGTAAACACCAAAGTAAATCAAATGTCAAGATAATAGACAGCAAAAATTTGAAAACCACAAACGTATGTTATACTACTTTAAAAAAATTTTTATATACCCTCCTTATATGTGTTATGCTGACACTTTCAAACAATGGTCACTGTTATGCTAAAAGAAATACTTTTACGGCATAGGGTTGCTAACCTCGCACCCAACCTTCGGTCTTTTCCAGCCTTAGTACCGGTCTAGTGAGGTTTAGGAGTACGTCGGCTGAGGATCGAATCCCGGACCACATGTGTGGTTGGCGAGTGTACCGCACAGCAGTCCACTCGCTCCTCCTTCAAGGCTGTGAGTGAGACCTTGCCATTGAGAGTGGAAGACATCAAAAATCCGGCTAGCCAGCTGTCTTTGATCGTAGGTACCTGCCTTCTATCTCCCGTGGGAAGTGGTGTAATAGGGTGAGCAATATTGAGGTGAGGTGTCGGTCGAGTGCTAGTTGGGTAGGTAGGTAGGTAGGTGGGAGGGAAATCAATCGATGAGGTTGTGAAGTTACACCGATTGAGATGGTTAGGACATGTGTTAGGCGTGCATTGCTGGCCATCGCCTTCCTCGACCGACGGACAATGTGAGTTGAAATAGGATGGATCAGTTTGGAAAAGAGTTAGTCAGCCAGTCAGTCAGTCACGTAGAGAAATATAGACTGCTTGGCTGGTTGGAGTTCTCGGGACAGTAGAAACCAATGAAAACTTGAGACGATTGGTGATATGACTCAAAATCGTTCTCACTCAATGGCTGGCACAGATGCAACTACTCCCTGTGACTTATAATACCCAATAGAACTATATGGTTCTTACATCTTACTATTGTTTTTGCCTCACATCTCTGTTTACTATCTCTATTTTGCATTTGTTTTTACTTTCTTCTCTTGCTTTGTGTACTAAATGGAGGGAGTGTGGTGACTCGAACTGCTGCACATCGGTGAAAAGTTCTGTGTTGAAATCAGTCAGTCAGTGAACGAAACATCTTTCTGTAGAAATTATTTGCTTTGTGTGAACTACAGTCTGTCAGGATGTATGTGGATGTTATAAAAACATATCGATGAGTGGTGTAATCTTTCCTTCTGTGCTCTGATGGAGCAGCACACATACAAGTATCCCCTGGATGAGATCCAGTCAAGTAGGGATTTCTCTACCCTATCTTCCAATGCATATCACTACATATGTAAGTCATCATGTGAATGAAGTAACCAAAGAATGTCCTGATAGGTGTTTAGTGAAATTTTCCAGATTCATTCTATTCGCCAGGTGGGATTAAATAATGAATAATGAATAAACACACTTGGTGGGATTTGCAAGGATACTTACTACTTTCTGACTGTCTGGTAGTGTTGTAGCTCGTTGGATAATTGACTGTGCAAGTGCGATCAGCACTTCATAGTAGCAGCTATGTCGATCGGGAAATAACTTTCGAAGAACGAAAAGAAGCTGAGGGATTGCTGTAATAAAATGTTACATTTTAGATATAGTTTCTCTAAGTCATATGTGTGCTTTATATATATATCCTTGTAACCAAATTACACACTTGTTAGTAACTACTATCATGTGTCCAGCTAGTCCTCGGTGTCGGTGCAGGCTGAATTCTGTCAGCCTGTCAATTTTGCAATGTGGCTCAGCATCTCACGGTGCCCTGTGAACTTTTAATATTAGATGGTTGGAGGCGATCGACCACAGGAAGCCTCTCTTCATCTAAGTTTCGTATTTGTTCGCATTCACCAGTCAGCAGGGCGTGTGTTCAATCTTGAAAGAACTCATGTCCTTTCTGAGATGCAAACCCGTCTCACCCTGTACTGAAGTCAGAGACGTTACCACTGAGGCACCTAGCATGGTGGTGGCCGCATAGCAAACTTGACTGACAATAGAATTCAGTCTGCACCAAAACAAAGGACTAGACACATTGATATTAGTTAATGACTAGTGTGTCTAATCAAAGTGTCCAATACAATCCCACAGGAGGTCAATCGTGGGCCCGAATACCTCAGTGGTAATGTCTCTGACTGCAGATCTAACTGGGTGACGCGGGTGCGAATCTCAGGAGGGACCTTGCTCACTGGTGAGAGTACCAACAATCACGAAACTTAGGTCATTTAGAAAACAGAAAGATTGAGCGAAGAAATATTTACTTTTCAATTAGATCCTCATCTCTCTCTGGCTCTACTCTAACACACATATGTAGCATTTTTATTACAATACACAACAGTTTACCAATCAAGTGGCACTGATATGTTTGTTTGTCAACAATAATTATTCAGTGTCAAAATGTCGATGGAGTGACAATTAACGAAGAAAATTAATACACACAATTATGATGTTCGGAAAAAGGATGATGAACCTGCCTAATTGTACGCCCAATGTAGGTGGCTCCGCAGCTGCAGTCAAACTGGTAGATACACATAGAAGAGGTAAATGTAGATAGTTTATTCTTATTTCTAGAACGTAGAATACGGGTGATAGTGAAGAGACAACATACCTCTGCTGCATAATAAGCTCTTTTAACTGCATTCTTCAGGCGCTGGGTTATTATTTAAATAAAAATGCAGTTAAAAGAGCTTATTATGCAGCAGAGGTATGTTGTCTCTTCACTATCACCCGTATTCTACGTTCTAGAAATAAGAATAAACTATCTACATTTACCTCTTCTATGTGTATCTACCAGTTTGACTGCAGCTGCGGAGCCACCTACATTGGGCGTACAATTAGGCAGGTTCATCATCCTTTTTCCGAACATCATAATTGTGTGTATTAATTTTCTTCGTTAATTGTCACTCCATCGACATTTTGACACTGAATAATTATTGTTGACAAACAAACATATCAGTGCCACTTGATTGGTAAACTGTTGTGTATTGTAATAAAAATGCTACATATGTGTGTTAGAGTAGAGCCAGAGAGAGATGAGGATCTAATTGAAAAGTAAATATTTCTTCGCTCAATCTTTCTGTTTTCTAAATGTCTAAATGAGGATTTTTTTTGTCTATATTGAAGCTTAGGTCAAGAAAGCAAGGCTTCCTCTGGCCGGATTGCCCCCAACCATCTTATAATATGCTCTGTAGGTTCTCTGTTCACAGTATAACTCAGTTTATTTTCAAACTAGAAATACAAAATCAATTTGCCTTAGTTAACGTGTAGGAATTGAAATTTGTTGAGTGAAGTGATTGTTTTTTCTCTCTGTTTGATATAGTTAATTATAAAGTAGTTCATATGTATACGGTTGGTGTGAAATTTGCAAAGTTTTTCGAATCACTTTTGATTTATATCTTCATCATCCTATGTGAATCCTTATTTCACTGTTTCAGTCTAAATAAAGCATTTCTCTCTCAATGTGGTCACGATGCTTTTACCCCACTTGTTAAACAGTTTTTTTATTATCCCTTTTTAGACATTACTGGGTGGCGGTGATTCAATGAGTATTTTCTATCGATGTGAACATTGTGAAGCGATAGTATTCAGTTCAGCGATGCAAGAACATTTAAACTCTGAAGAGCATAAATTGGGAATTGCCAAAATCCATGGAAGCTCAGTAATAGGTTTCGATCATATCCTTCCACTACGGGAATATCGTCGCTCGTGTCAAGAAGTTTTGTGTCCTGTATGGCCTTCAGTGAAATTTACTGATGCGGAGGTAAGCTAATACTTGAGTGATATGCCTGTTCAATATAATACAGAAAATTCATCTGGTCATTATTATTATTATTATTATTATTATTATTATTATTATTAGTATATATTATTGTTCCCTTGGGTTCCGAGTGGAACACATAGGGCTTCAGCAACACGTCTCCATTTTGCCCTCTTCTCTGCGATCCTCTTTAGCTGGCCTCGTGGTCGTCCATAGTCTCTCATTTCATCCATGTCACTCGTCGTTTCCCATTCGGGTTCCACTCCAGGGATGGCTCTGGAGTCTGTCTATCTGTCTGTTTTCGACATAGAACTTTGCACCGATGTGCAGTAGTTCAAGTCACCACACTCCCTCCATTTAGCACACAAAACAAGAGAAGAAAGTAGAAGAAATGCCCAATATAGACAGTAAACAGAGGTGTGAGACAAAGGAATAGGAATAACGGAGAGCAAAACAGTTTCATTGGAAATCACAATTCACAAGGAGTGAATGCATCTGTGCCATCCATTGAGAACGATTTTGAGCCATGTCACCAATTGTTTCCAACCATTGGTTTTTACCGTCCCGAGGACCCCAACCAGTCAGGAAATCTACACCTTCCTACGTGGCCTAGACTAACTGTTGTAGATTTCATTGACTAGTGCCATGTTTTGGTTTGACCGCCGCTAGCTCTTTTCCAGCCTGACCCCATATTATCAGCTAACATTGCCTATCGGTCGAGGAAGGCGATGCATATTCTAAGTCAACGAGATTATTCCTTGGTAACAAGTCAATCCCTGAGTCTTTGAAGTGAGTTAGGGTTAAATCCATTAGTACATCTATGATGAAATTGCATAGAAATAGGGATAATGGGCATCCCTGACAGACATCACTAGTCGTGACCCTGGAGAGTGCCATATCACTCAACGGGGTCAACTCAGTATGTTTCCCATACATCTCCATTTCCTTCGGAATATTTGCTGAACAGTAGAATCTTGATTGGTTCGTTCACAGAGTTTCTTGTTCCTAATTCTTTCTGGCCTACCATTTGATCTTGAATATATGGAGCCAGCGAAGGCAGCTTTTGATAAAAGTCTTCAGTGACTGACCTGTTGGAAATAGCTTTTTTTTCTTGACCCATATAGAGGAACTGACTGTGTCTCTCCTGGTCACGATCAAATTTACAAAATTTTTATTTCTGAATATTACCTACCTGTGACAGGTAGAGATCGAATCTATATCTATCATGTGCAAGTCAGCAGATATTATTAGGTGGACTTCAGAAGGTAGTCCGGGATAAGCATCAATATTACAAATTGTGGAACAGTTTTGACCGCCTGTTTATTTATTTACAAATCAATTTCTCACCTGTCTGATGATTTGATCTAAGATTCAGTGAAACTCTCAGACGTGTAGCAACTTTAGCAGTGTGATAAAAATCAAATGAAATGAGTATATAGATCACAAGGGACCGTGCATTGGATACAAAAATAAAACAGTTCATCACTCGGTAGTGTAATTACAATATATGTAATTTAGGCTTAATGGATTATAAACCCCGTAATAACAGACAGTACTTAAATGGACATATTTATTGATTAGCTTGAGCTGTTTGAAGTAGTAGTAGTAGTAGTAGTTGGAGTTTGGTGACAATGTGTAAATATGTAACAACCTTCAAAAACAAAAACCTTTGAAATTTGTTTGAGCAAATAAAACCAAGTAAACTTCAAAAGTTGATCAGTCACATTTGCATTTAGAAAGTCAGTTGTGTACAAAAGTCAAAATGTATTGATGGTGTGATCGGCGGACTGACGGACTGACTAGTTTCAACATTGAACTTTGCACCGAAGTATAACAGTTCGAGTTGCCACACTTCATGTAACTACTATACAAAGGAAAAAAAGACAGATTCAAAATAACTATAATAAGCAGAACGATCTCAAGAGAATCCTCGTCGAGAATTGTTATCCAGAACGATTTATTGCAAAATCTATGAATCCTAGACCACAAAAGCCGCCCATAGTTAGCGTCCCGAAAAAACTACTCTACATGAATCTTCAATTCAATGAAGATATATCTGCGGAAACACTGAAAAATCGACTGTCGCACTCACTTAAGAAGACCCTCTTCGCAAGTGAACTACGACTAATCTTCGCGACAAAACCTATGATTCATGTGAACGTGAAGGATAAGCTACCACTGCTGGCCTCATCGATGTGTGTCTACCAATTCACCTGCTCGTGTGGAGCCAGGTATGTCGGCCGTACCCAGCGTTCACTTTCCAAACGTATCACCGAACACTAACCAACATGGTTTTACAAAGCAAGGAAACGATGCCCCCCAGCTCCATCTTAGAACATCTGATAGATTCCGGACACCAAGCTACACCCCAAACAAACTTCAAAGTCGTCTACAGAATCCGAAGTAGTCTTCCTAAAGGTGTACGAATCAGACTCCTTCAAACTGCAGAAGCAATGGCTATTCACTTGCTAAGTCCTGAACTCTGCATACAGAAGAAGTTCGTTCAATCACTACACTTGCAATGGACGTAATCTATCTTATTACCCGACAAGTAAATTCTACCTAATATTTTTTTCTATCTTCATTAGTATCAATTTGTCTTCTCAACTGTAATATTTTACATTTTCAACCTTCTTGTTCTCTACCCCCACCCGATTGAATTTCTACACCTCACTACCACTATTACTGACTTGACCAACGCTCAATTTCTAGTCATTTCTAGTCATGTTACGTCATCCAACTTATTTGCTCAATTTCACTTCTAATATAAATGGCATTATTCTCTACCCCACTTCTACTTAGTCTCTCTCTACCTGTAATTACTTACCTCAGTTGCTATCCTAACCTGAATTGAAACATTTTAGTCAATTATATTGCGTGATCTAACTAACTTACTAACTCAATGTTACTTTAGTTGCTGTCTGATTTACCTTGTTTCTATATTAGATCAGTCTTGTATTATCTAAACTTGACAAACCACATGTACACACATAGACAAATAATTATATATAAATGCGATTGTACAGATATGTGAATGAATTCGCCGGCGAAAAGAGTCTCTTCGCTGAACGTCTTCTCTTTTTCATATCACCAATTGTCTCATGCCTTCATTGGTTTCTAAGGTCCCGAGAGCCCCAACCAGCCAACCAGTGTACACTTCTCAATGTGACTGATTGACTGGCTGGCTGGCACAAACTAACTGTTGTGGATGGATTTCACTGACTGACGAAGCCATGTTGGCTAGTTTTGGTTTGACCACCACTGACTGACTGACTGGCTGGTTAACTATTTTCCAACCTGATCCATCCTATTTCAGCTAACATTGTCCGTCGGTCGAGGAAGGCGATGGCCAGCAATGCACGCCTAACACATGTCCTAACCATCTCAATCGGTGTAACTTCACAACCTCATCGATTGATTTCCCTCCCACCTACCTACCTACCTACCCAACTAGCACTCGACCGACACCTCACCTCAATATTGCTCACCCTATTACACCACTTCCCACGGGAGATAGAAGGCAGGTACATACGATCAAAGACAGCTGGCTAGCCGGATTTTTGATGTCTTCCACTCTCAATGGCAAGGTCTCACTCACAGCCTTGAAGGAGGAGCGAGTGGACTGCTGTGCGGTACACTCGCCAACCACACATGTGGTCCGGGATTCGATCCTCAGCCGACGTACTCCTAAACCTCACTAGACCGGTACTAAGGCTGGAAAAGACCGAAGGTTGGGTGCGAGGTTAGCAACCCTATGCCGTAAAAGTATTTCTTTTAGCATAACAGTGACCATTGTTTGAAAGTGTCAGCATAACACATATAAGGAGGGTATATAAAAATTTTTTTAAAGTAGTATAACATACGTTTGTGGTTTTCAAATTTTTGCTGTCTATTATCTTGACATTTGATTTACTTTGGTGTTTACGTCCACGAATATGAGCGTCTAATTGCTCCAAAGAATTCATTTTTACATCACACAAAGAACAAAAGAGATTGCCATCAGGTAACAAAAACTTTTGCTTCATATCTTTGGTGGCAGTGTTTACAAGCACAGAGATATCCACAAGGCTACATGGGTGTCACCAGACGGGCGAACCAAAAACCAAATTGACTTTATCACAATGGTCAGCAATGCACGCCTAACACATGTCCTAACCATCTCAATCGGTGTAACTTCACAACCTCATCGATTGATTTCCCTCCCACCTACCTACCTACCTACCCAACTAGCACTCGACCGACACCTCACCTCAATATTGCTCACCCTATTACACCACTTCCCACGGGAGATAGAAGGCAGGTACATACGATCAAAGACAGCTGGCTAGCCGGATTTTTGATGTCTTCCACTCTCAATGGCAAGGTCTCACTCACAGCCTTGAAGGAGGACGGAGCGTACTGCTGAACAGTACACAGGTCCTTTGGTCGACAGCCAGCTGGATAGCACCTGCAGTATCAGCTTCCATTTGACAGCAGGAGCGAATCGCATGCCAAACACTCGAAGATTTCTAGCTGCTTAAGGTGTTTAGAAGACTCTTCTTTCCCTCCGCGTCTTCACTCACCAAATGGACTATAACATCCGCATGCATATTTGAAGTCAACGAGATTATTCCCTAATGGTAACAAGTCAATCCCTAAGTCGGTGAAGTAGTCGGTCAGAGTTAAGTTCATCAGTACATCTATGAGGAAATTAAACAAAAATGGGGATAGTGGGCATACCTGACAGACACCCTTTGGTGTCTGATGACGACTTCAGATGACAACTGTCCCTCCGTAGGCTCTCCCTCATCTGGCTCGCAGCATGAGTGTGAGTAGAGTGAGTGCCTTGGTCAGGGCGATGTATTTCCTCGGTATTCCCCTGACAGTGAGACATCGCCATGGTACCTGTCGGTCGAAGGAATCGGATGCTGCTTCCACGTCGAGAAATATGACGATTGTTGAACGCCGGTAAGTATGCCTATGTTCCAGAATCTTCAATGAACGAAATATTCCGATATTGAGTAATAAGAAAAAGGCACAAACAGCAGAATCTGTCGAATACACCCACCCTCTTTCTGGTCTGAAGTCTGCCTCGTTCTCTCGTATTTGTGCCTCTCGAGCACCACTTAGTCCACGCTTGATTATTCTGCCGACGACGTTAGATGCCATATTAGTCATGCTAATCTCCCTGTGATTATCACACAGAGACTTGTCTCCAATCGTGTATATCGGAATAATCAGTGACTTACCCCAACCCGACGGGACTTCCTCTGACTCCCAGACGCTGCCTAATACCTTAGTTAACGCTAACAGTAGACGTTCTCCGCTATCCTTAAACACCTATGGACTCATTCCAGAAGGCCTCCGTGCTTTGCTTCATTTCAGACTAGTAACAGCTTTTGTAGCCTCAGTTAAGGCCGGAGGACTTGTGTATATATCCCACTCAGGGAGGTAGGTATTGCATGCTGAGTAAGTTGAGCATGGCTGCAGGCCGACTAAATTTCTCCTCAAAGTTATCTTTCCAGTGTTTCAGGCGTCTATGGTAAGAGCTAATTATGGTGCCATTTTCCTCACAGATTGTTTCACTTATCATCATTCGCCTTCCACCATCTGTTTCCCTGATAAGTCTAAGTAGTTGTCTGATGTTACCAATCGTCGATGCCTTTTCCATCTCTTTCACTTTTGTCACCACCCCACCAGCACAGTTCCCGGTCGTTGCGAAAACTTCTTGTTAATTTTTGTTTGAGCAGCTTTTGCTCCTCATCATCATTATCGGAGCTCGCCGGAATCAGTCGTCTTGCGTCAATCAGTTCGGATGAGGCAGTAGAAATGCGAAGAACTTCGAGTGACATTATGCGCCACACTATCCTTCTAGTGTAACTTCAGTGAATAGGACAACGTGGAGGTTTTCTGTTAAAGCCCTGTTTGCCGCTAGGAATTCAAAGTGGTTAATAATAGTAAAATCTGAGTAAGTATTAGAAGGAGTAAAAAAACACTGTGATATTCATAACTGGGAGTTTATATCGATAGTTTGGTTATTTCAGACTTCTTTACGTCATAGTGATTATATACACATTATGTATTATGGTAGGCAAAGTTCAACAATAGCATCCCAAACGATGTGAACGCACTAGTGTCCTTGATCCGACCAATCATAAAATGAGGAATTTTTGCATGAAAAATGATGTATATTTACAAGAAAATGCATGAAAACACATTAAACAGGGTATCTTTCTCTGACATCACTTAAAAACACGTCCTAGGTGTAATGAGGAGGGAGTATCAGTTGCTGAGTTAGTTACACTAGTTTTTCTGTACATGTATTCACCGAGGTGACTGAAGATGAGCTGCTTTTGTGCATCGTTTATCTCTCGTATCTTGTTTTACAAAGGCCTCGGTTGAATTACTATGGTTTCCAGTAAGAGGATCGATGATTATTCACCAGGAAAATGTGGATAATAAAACAAATTAGAATAAGTGACATCAGCTCTAAATGTAACCCTAATCGTAAACCTAACCTAAATTCTAACCCTAATTACAACCCTTATCCTAGCCGCAGGCCTAACCCTAACCCCAATACTTACCTTAACCCTAATCCTAACCCTAGCGAGCGAGCTATTAACACATTGTCCAAACAGTACTGGAAAAGGTGATCTGGGTGAAAGTTGCTCCTTAGTTGGTGAATAGCATTGATATTTCAGCTATGATAATGACAGGTGGTGCCGTAGGCCAACGACTAGCATGCGTTCAAGGTCATTTTAGCGTTCGCACTTCTGGGACGCTATCGTTGAACTTCGCTTACATATAAAAGCTCCATATGTTATTCTCTCATTGTCATCATCTTCAGCGCTGAATGGATATGTTGTCTAGCAGGACAATGAAAGCTGTGCAATTAAATCAGCCAGTTCAGAGAACACAACTAAATGTGAAAATCATTCACCTATGCTATAAATATTCTCCATTATAGATAGTAACTACTAGTTTTAAATCTTTTAAATTGTCAGGCTAACCTCTTAATGGAAGCAGCGAAGAATGATGATGATTGCATTTTACTCTTGTCATCATGTGATGGTCGATCACGTGTTGGCTTACATTTAGCCAATGCCCTGTTGATAGCTAATCGGCATTTCCCTCCGTCCAATAATTTTGGTAGTGCATTGAAACCGAGTACTAGTACTACTCCTACTGATATTACGTGTGTGCTATGGATTGCACCTGAGAAACCAATGACTACAGCTACAAATCGTTCTACGTTCATATTTCAGTGAGTAAATTCATTTTACTGGTTATATATATATTTGTATACTTCTTATTTTAGTAGCATTCTCGTATATAATATACCTTCTGCAATTATATTTACTGGTCTGTAATCATTCATCTTTAAAAATTTGTTCACTTGTTATCATTATTATTCGCTGGGTTCCGCGTGGAACACAGGGCTTCAACAACGCATCTCCACTTCGTTCCTTTTTTCTGCTGTCGTCTTTATCTGGGTCCACGATTGCCTAAAGTCTCTCATCTGCTCCTCTCACAATCCCCGTCATATCAATCTCGGCCGCCCAACTCATCGTTTCTCGTTCGGGTCCTACTCGAGCGATGGCCTGCATTGCGCGCCATATCATTCTGCAGTCTCCTCAATGTGTGTCCGGTCCATCTCCATTTTCTTCGGAATATTTGTTGGTCAATAAATTGCTGGATAACTCGTTCCAAGAGTTTCTTGTTGCTAATTTTTCCTGGCCTGCCTTTGGTCTTCAACATTGAGTGAAGGTAGTTGTTGATAAAAGTCTTCAATGGCCTCTAGGGTATGTTTTTCGTGACGCTCCAAGTCTCAGACTCACATATATTATAGGGAATGGCTGACTGACTTAACATTGGCGTTAAAATTCCTAATTTCGTTGTGTATGCTGCGGAGTGCAGAAGGTTGTCGAGCTGATTTCAAAGTGATGAGAGTCTGTCCCACCTTCCCCATTGCGGTTTTGACATTCTCATTCGTGGTGTCGCCTGTAGTTGAAAGGATGCCTCTCAGATAAGTGAAAGATGTGACCTCTTTCAAACTTCTCCGGTCGACAGTGATTGGTGGGTTGGTTGGTTGGTTGGTTATCTTCATCACCTCCGTCTTCTCTATGTTACGGTGGAGTTCTGTCTTCTGTGGCCACTTCTTCAGTCAATTTGTTGGTTTTCGCCTGCGTGCAAGTCTTCAAGTTTGTGTGACACTAGACATATATCATCCACGCGTATAATCCAGATCTTCTAGAGTCTCCTCATCGGTGATCCAGCGTGCTCCTGTCTCCTCGCTCCCTGTGCACAGTCTGACGCATAATCCAGTCCACCACAATTAAGAGTATTATCCGTGGTGATAATAGACAGTCAGCTTGTCTTACTCCTGTGTTCGTGTGGCGACTTGAACTGCCGCACATATGTGCAAAGTTCTATGTCAAAAACCGAACGACCGACCGACACCTGTGTTCATTTCGAACGCCTCACTGTGTTTTCTGTTGTGGATCTCCTGACACGTGACATTGTCATATAGCCAGCCAGCTGTTGAATGAGGTTGATAAAGATTTTGGTACTGCACGCCGTAGTGTTGCAGTAGTTTCCAAATTACTTCTCGGTCAATGGTGCACTGTCGAAGGCCTTCTTGAAGTCGATTAAAGAAGTTGAGGTAGAGTAAGGTTTGACTGCGATTCTATGCTTTGTTCGACTATGTTGAGTAGAGCTGCACTTTGATGAGCATATGATTCGACGACATCATCATGTAAGTAATTCTTAGGTTAGACAGTGTGTGTTTGGACACATTGGAAGGCACTATTCACTGAGTGTCGTCATCTGGAAACACCGGCTTCAGTGGTTTGGACATATACTACAAATGTCATCCCAGTGGCTTCCATACAAATCTCTGTTCGCCTAGCCCTAGGACGGGATGGAAAAAGCGGAAAGGTTGTTGTTCGGTCAGTGCATGACGTGGCGTTGTGGGATGAAGGATATTTGTGGTAGGTTAGCTTTGGTTGATAAATCACGACTCCCTGGTTGGGATCCGAAAGATAGCTTGAAACATTATCGGATGTGGCCAAGAATGACAATCAATCAGTGGCGAATGTGCTGCAGTTATCCTTTTTTCTTCCCCTTCTGACAATAATTCGACGAATGCTGTTTCATCTTGATAAATAAAACAGCTACCATCCCAGATGGAGTTCTGTAATCATTCTCTGCCCATTTTGTTCACGAGTTGTTTTATCATTATTGTTGTATAGTGCATCGTCTTGGCGCCTATTTTGTACCAAGCTTTGTGTTTTAAATTAAACTCTTTTTTGTTCATATGCCTTCTAGGCCGGGTGGTGAGAAAAGTTCAACTGGGCGTCCATTGATTTTTGCATATCCACCGTTCGATCCGTCAGTCCTATCAGAAACTGATATCGTGAGAACAAATTCAGGCAAGTTTTTTCTCTTTTGATGGTATTGTATTCAGTTAGAATATCTATCGGTCTATCGTCAGACTTGTTATTTTTGTTCTCTAGAGTTAAGTGCGGCGAACTCAGCTAACCAAGTCGTTGAGTTTTTTAAATGTAATCTGATTTTGTTTCGTATGTATATATTGGTTGGAGAATTTCATCATGAGCTGAGATCAGTTAGAGAACCATCGGAAAAGAAGCTGGGTGTACTGGACAGCTGTTTCGTCAGCCTGGTTCGGGACTCTTCATCAGTACGCACCCACCGACAGGGTTGGAACCAATGACCTTCTTTTTACAAGACAAGCGAGCTCGTGGAACATTGAGCCACTGGGACGTAATCCAATGACCAGTTCATGATATCTAACTTCTCCCAATTCATGATATAGAGTGACCATTTCGCAATGTCCTCTTGGATGAGTAACTGTCCTCACCTTGAACCTGCTGTATATGATAGAAGTAAACTTGGCTCGCCATATTTTTTTTTCTATAATAGTAATTTAAACAGAACAATAAGAAGACGTAATGTTTCTGCCCTGTTCGGTACAAAAGAGCCCTAGTAAGTGAGGTGCCTCTTCAGTAGAATCCAAAGAGTACCGGCCGAAGACACATTTGATGAGGAAGAAAGAAAGTTGACACAAACTCTGGTTAATAGTAATTATCCCAATGAATGAAAAACAAAACGATATTGCTGTATGTAGGCTGAGATTTTGTAAATTCTGGTTTAATAATATTTTGATAAAGCTATTAGCAGCATTCAACAGTGAAACGTCAGTAACAACAATATCGTTTTATTTTTCTTTCATTCATTGGGAAATACGAAAACGTTATAATTCATAGTTCGAATGCCTATCACGTTAGCTGTGTGAACAAGAGTAATGCGAAGTCCATTGGAAAGATTCGGTTGGATGCGACAAATCACCACTTTGAAAACTTTCGTTTTACTTTATCCACTACGTAACTACTATCAACTAAATGTGACAAAATAGTAGGGCTACGAATTGCTTCTATCTGTCCTTTTGCAAACCATGATGGTAGATGTTCAGTAGTGACACGTTGACTAAGCTGTCTGCTAATACGCCCAACATAACTATGACCACAGGTGCAGCTGAATTGATAAATGCACAAAGGTGTGTGGCGAAGCCATCTAGCTATCTATCCTTCGTTTGCGTACCAGTCATTCGTTGGTTAGAGAATGACAAACATAGGTATGCTGCGTAAAAAGTTCTTCATATACTCCTGAAAAGTCTCTGGAATAAAATCTCACTTGACAATCTCAACTTAATAAATGGAGGTATTTTACCTGCAGTCATGGTCTCAGGTTTTCTCTCCAATGTTTTATATGTTCCTTTATGAAACTAATCGGATATCCATCCCATCTCCGTCAGTGAATCATGGATGTATTCGGATTCCGCTTGCAAGCGGTCATCCGTACATATCTTTCTTGCTCTGCTAATCAGACAACAATTCTTTTATATTTAATAGGCACGTATCTATGAAAGTGTGAGTACTGCCCTGTGAATGTGCTTTTTCTATACACTCTTCTCCCAAGTAACCCAACTTCTCACCTACTTAGTAAGATGTCCAAAAAATGTAGTTTACTATCCTACTCCTCTACACATTGCTATTAATAAGACTAATTGCACATCTGATATGCACAATCTTACACTGTGATTGGTGTATATTTGAGTTTTTATTTGTAAAATTATGTATATTAGAGTTAATTAGATCTGATGAGATCCAGTTGAAAGCGCAATATTATTCACTTGAATGTGTTGTTCTAAAGTGTGAATTGACAAAAGGGTGACACATACTCATGTTGTTTATAGTGAACAGAATGTAATTTTCACTTGGGGGTGGGGGTGGGAGTGGGAGTTATATTCAATGGTGTGCCAGAAAAACAATTTCCCTTTTTATTCCTTCACGTTCCCAGTGGAACATAGGGCTTCAAGCTAGGCTAGGCTTGAAGTTTCTTTAGCAGTGTTTATTTTTACAGGATGGGGTTGCTAGCCTCATGCCCAACCTCCCCTCTTTGCCAGTTCTATCAGTGGCTTAGCGAGGTAAAGGAGTGCGTCGGTGACCGGGGATCGAATCCCGGACCATGTACATGGTCGGCGAGCATCCTAACCGCTGTGCCACCGACGCACAATGTTGGTTTGGTAACCTGAAGGTCCTGGGTTGGATCCATGCTGATATGGAGCGAATGGGTGCGCACTGACTGTGAGTGCTGAAGAGTCCCGAAAAAGGACAAAACACAGCTGTCCAGTACTTCTCCTCGGGTTTTTAAATGATTCTCTAATATATGCGAAGTCTATTTACATATCATTCACATAAATTTATATTCTCTACCATTTTTCTATCCCTTAGGTGGCTTTATAACACATTTAGCCTGGTTACTTATGCAACAGAAGTTTTTATGCGGTATCATTATCGAGGATGTAGAAATCGTATCTAAAGATGTAGAGTTTTGTCAATTGCTCACATGTTTTCTAAAAGTTTACTCTCGTCAGGCTAATCGCGGTCGAGTAAGTTTTTAAAAAACTGTTTATTATTATTATTATTATTATTATTATTGACCAAGTTAAACTTTAAGCACCACTGACTTGACTACCAGTGGAGTGCGACCGCACCAATGACCTTCAAACGCTCACTGAGCAAGTTAGTGAAACCTGGGAAATAACGTTGTCATTATCAAAAAAATATGCTTATCGAAGTGTTATGCGATTACATAGGATTTCTGGCAGTTTTCAGCTTAGGCTTGAGAAAGATTAAGTTATTCTTTAAGCCAAGGACAAGTTAGGGTTGAGCTAACCTAATAAAGGCGACATTAGGGTTGGTTCGAGTTAGATTACAGTTAGTTTAGGGATATTTTCACGTTAGAGTTATTAGGTTCAGCAAAGATTGGGGTTATTGTTAGGGTTAGAAGGCCTAAATAAAATTACATGCATATAATGCATGTTTATATAACAATAGAACTTGTGCAGTGTGGTAGAGTATAATTCCATTGTGGGTAAAATTTATTTCGATAAACTCTCAGTGTAATACAGTAGTAATATTTACTGATGACAACGTTCCGAGCAGAATCTATTGCTCACGAAATATTACTGTGAGACTTTATCAGAATAAATATTACCCACACTGTGGAATTATACTCTGTTGATACTCCAACCTAAAACTGAGATCTATTTTTATCACATGTGAGAGCAAGGTATCCTCTGAAACACTTTTCTACAGTTTTTTATGCATTATTTCATAAAAATATATGTATTCCATACACAAAAATTCCTCCTTCGCGTGATTGGTGCGTTCGAGGTCATTTGTTGATTAGTAGTTAGTGGTAGTTAAAGTTTAACTTTGCCTTATTATTATTATTATTATTGTATAATTCCTGCTTTAAAACTAGTATTGTAACATCATGAATTGGTTGAAGGACTTATACACACCAAATTTTCACGTAGAAGAGAGGTTAATCTTTGACCTAAATTTGTGTGAACTTCTGTTGAAATTCTACATTTACATTCACTTTTTTTTCCGTATTAGATAAGTTAATTTTGGAATATCACAGAGTGATTAACAGTATTAACGACTGGATGATGACGTTTCTTGCATGAATTATTGCTACTCATAATTATAATATTATCATTATTTAGTTACACGGTTTCATACTATGTCTTATATATACACTTTTTCTCTCTCTTTCCCTGTCTCTCCATTTTCCCTTTGTTGTTTGTTGGCACTTTCCATATCTCCGGTATCGTAGGCGGTGTTGTGTCATTCTGAATGCTGCATGTGTTCCATGTTCAATCGATAGACAAGGCTTGAGTGATTAACCTCTCCCCGTCTCCACCTAACTATATTACTGTCTAATATTTCCACCCACCCTATGGTGTGTGATTACATGCAAGTGAATGATGCAATGCAGTGCAGTGCGATGACTTGGCTTTTTTCTAGGCCATTTAACTTCACTGTGGTGTCAATCATTCTGGGCTGACCTACGTTGACCTATTTGACTGACCTCAGAGTCTTTACAGCCTTAGTGAATTATTATTATTCTTAATTGGATCTATTGGGTCTTCACACCGCACATGTGCAATCAAAATCCTGCAACCGCTTATACCGGAGATATGGAAATTGGCAACAAACAACAAAGGTAGGCAAGTTGGAAAGACAAAAAGAGATAAAATGTACATTTAACACAAATTGTGAAACCGTGTGACTTAATTGATATTGTCACAGCAGAAGGCAAGACACGGAAGCTAAAGTATACTTTCAATTGATCAAACAGCTATTTATGTGTATATATACAGTGCATATTCTTTAATGAATCACTGAGCTTGTGATTTTGGATTACATTAAACGACATGAAATATAATGTTCAAACATATACATTATTCTCTTAATGTCTGTTTTCAATGTAGAACTTTACACCGATGTACAGCAGTTCGAGTCACCACACTCCCCCCCCCACCCCAATTAGCACACAAAGCAAGAGAAGAAAGTAAAAACAAATGCAAAATAGAGCTAGTAAACAGAGATGTGTGGCAAAAACAATAGTAAGATGTAAGAACCATATAGTTCTATTGGGTATTATAAGTCACAGGGAGTAGATGCATCTGTGCCAGCCATTGAGTGAGAACGATTTTGAGTCATATCACCAATCGTCTCAAGTTTTCATTGGTTTCTACTGTCCCGAGAATCCCAACCAGCCAATCAGTCTACAATTCCCTACGTAACTGGCTGGCTGGCTGGCTTAAACTAACTTCTGTGGATGGATTTCATTGACTGACGAAGCCATGTTTTCGGGCTTTGGTTTGACCACCACTGACTGGCTGGCTAACTCTTTTCCAACGTGATCCATACTATTTCAGCTGACATTGCCCGTAGAGGAATTGTTGTTAATGCAATATTGACCTGTGGAAATAGTATTCAAACGTTGGTGTTACACCAGCAAATACAATGATTCTAACTATATGAGAATAATATTCTGTTGGAACCCACTGTCTGTATCACACCAACACAATATGATTTTGAGGAATAATTCATGCTCAAAACACGTCATCCATTTGTTAATACTGAATAAAAGGTTTAATGGTGTGAAATATCTCCACATCATGAATTAAAAGTCAATCTGAACGACGAATATTCTCTTTTCAATAATTTCTCCTCTTCAGGTTCTTACAATTATAAAATGGAATATTTGTTGTCTTAAGAATATTGGCCAGTTATGCGGCGGACACATTTTCACGTAGAATAACAGATTAGTTTGGGGGGTGACAAAATAAATAGTAATATTTCTGTGACAAACGTGCTCTGAGCTGAAATCGATTACAAAATATTTCGGTGAAATGGGACCCAGTGGTGGTGATTAGTAGTGAATCATAATAGATTTGTAGAATATGGGGTAGGGGAAAAAATTGACACCAACACAACCTTCAGGGTGATATACCGAATTCCGAAGTCGTTATCATGTATAGTTTGCTTACGTCCGCTACACATAGCTGAAGCTGTTGCAATAAGATCGAATACACCGGAACTTTGTATCCAAAAGAACACATCCAGACGCTGTTCCTACCGTGGCTAAACTTGGATAAATGATTCTTCTTCTCAACAGGAGTGCTTATTCCCCATAAGGTTCTTGGTTATTTTCTTTCTTTCTTTGCTTATAATTATTATTCGTCATAAATTATTTATATCCATCATTTGAACATTCTCTGAATACCATCGAATTTTCCATTTATACTATCGGACTTGTTATTATTAGTGGTATTATCTCTTTTCTCAATATATGCCTCCACCTGTTCCATTTCACACATTGGTTATGTCATGATGAACTTCTCATTTCAGTCTTACTATCTCCTCTTTAATTCATACTATAGTGTACTAGCCACTCACTCACCTGACACCTTTCATAACCTTGAAGTGACTTGTCATTTTCTCCTACCCCATATTCTACGAATCTATTATGACTCACTAATCACCACCACCACCACTGTGTCCCATTTCACCGAAAGATTTTGTAATCGATTTCAGCCCAGAGCACGTTTGTCACACAGATACGACTATTTATTTTGTCACTCCCTAAGCTAATCTGTTATTCTACGTTAAAAATGTATCCGCTGCATAATTGGCTATCATTATTTTTACGACAACAAATATTCCATTCTATAACTGTAAGAACCTGAAGAGGAAAAATGATTCAGGAGGATATTCTTCGTTCAGATTGACTTTTATTACTGAATATCAGATTATGTATTTCTTAGGTATTTTGTGAGTAATGTTATAATGTAGATGTTTCGTCGCAAACTAGCAGTCATTTGAAAAATTATCTACCAAATTTAAGTGCTCCTGTGGAGGCAGTCAGTTACATAGGCTGTACAATTAGACGGGTTTCTCGTCGGATTTCCGAACATCACCCTGCATAGTGGTGGTTAAGTAAAGGACAAATAAAATCTATGCATAGAGCTATTCTATCTCATCTTGTGGATACAGAACAGAAGATAGATGTTAACCAGGTAGGTGGCTTTCAGAGTCATTTACCGCATACCAACAAATCTCAATTTTGCCTTAAGAGTTCGACTATTAAATATTGCTGAGACTGGCTGTTGGGATCCATATTAAGAAGCCTAATTTATACGTCCAAAAGAAGTTGGTTCAGACATTATCCTTACCTTGGCCATCCAGGTTTGAATGATCCTGAATTTTTGTGGAATTTTCATAATTTTAGTTGATATTCTATTTGTTATTATATTTTTATTATCATTATTATAATTTAAGCATCTTTAATGAACTGTAATTCCATTGTGATCTTACTTACCAAATCGATATTATTTAAAAAACCACTAATATTGTCATTGACTACTATTCTAGAATATCCTATGAATAAAAAATATATATATAATTGTAGAGCGAGAAGATGAAATTATCTAAAAGAATATTCTTTGTCCAATTATTTTGCGTTTTATGGATGTCTGAAAAATTATGTTCACAAACAATTGTAACATACCAGCAATTTCTACATGATCTCAGTTGACAAAGAGTTCAAGTTTAAACAAAAAATCAATGTATGTATACCATGGTACAGTAGTCACGTAATAAAGACAAGAGGTATAAAGCCAGAGATTACGTAATCGAAGGACATCCAGTTACCAGGTGGGCAAGGAAAGACTGATAACTGCTTCTTTGTGAACGCATAAATCGGTTTTCAGGCGTATGATAGAGATTGCTTCAGAAAACTTGAGGAGAATTGAGCTCCTTTGTCTAATGATAATTTTATAGGAATTCGCGATGTCCAACTCTTGACCCCTATCAAGGAGATGTCTGGTAATGGCACTATTGAAAGTGTTTGTTCCCTAGAGTCGTAGGCTTTTCGGTACATGTTCAGAAAATCGGAGGTGCTCCTGTCTCTTTGTTCTCCCAGTGTGACTGCTACTGCAGATGCATGTGAATTTGTATATACACAGTTAGCACTGACATGAGAAGAGTATCTGTCGACTTTTGATTGTATCAAGAAGCATGTGTTGTCCGA